AGAGAGATATTCAGGTAGGAAAATGACCTCAGATCTGTATTATATCCTGTCCTAACAGGTGCTTTGTTGCTGTAACACTCCCTGAATTTATGATCCCCCTGGCACCTAAATGCTTATGTCCCTCTCTGATAAAGCCCTGAGCACCTCCAGCAGTGTTTGTTTGCTCACATCATCAGAAGCACATGGGGATTTCCAAAATCTGAAGCCAAAATAACGGTCCTACAAAATTCAGCTTGACCCAAGGCAAATCAGCTCTGCAGCATCAGACCTTAAGGCTCTCAGCAACGCACAAGTTGGTGCTACACTGCTTTTCCCCCCCCCATCCAAACCAAATTTCAGTTTGCATTCCTTACCTCATACTAATATTTACTCTCACAGACCCTTTCATTAGGCACAGCACATCCCGTGTCTGTTTGCCTGAGATTACATTCAGATGGCCACAGCAGGTATTTGGAGTTTGGCTGCTTTTATAGGAAGCCCATAACTAAAATATAGGAAAAAATCCCTTATGTTATATGCATCTGAATTTGCTGCAGTTTCTGGCTTGGCAACAAATTGTCTTTTGCACTCTTAAAGTAGAAGTGGTCACTGTTGTAGAATTACAGTAAGAGCATCAGAACTTGTGCCTGGTGTCTGCATGCTCCCACATTAGCCTCAGCCATGTGTCACCTCCACATTATTCTCAGCTCCTGAGCTTTTGGGGACAGTTATTGCCTTTTTGTGTAGCCAGAACAAGACAGCTGCACTGCATTTAGTATCCCAAAGTGGAGATAAATCAGTCATGTTAATAAAAATAATCATAATTCCACCTATGAAAGCAAGAATGGTACCATGACTCAGGCATCACATACTTGTGCTGGCCTCCAGCTGCCTGCTAAGATACTGCACAGAGCCAGAACTGTGCGCTGTTTTCAGATTAATGTAGGAAAATAAGCCAGAGTTTGAATAGCGTTCAACACTGAACTGAACTATCAGCAAGAAAATAGCTTCAGATGCATGGCTAGATTCCTATTTATCTTTCATTTTTATTAAAATTCCAACTAATAAAATAAAAGGCAAATAGGAGAGACTTCAAGCACAGTTAAGGAAGCTGAATGTAAGCATCCTTGCCCAGGCCAATGAACTCTTTGGAAGAGAATCATGTATGTCAGCAAGAACTAATTTGCCCAAGCTCAAGTGATAACTATTGTGCAAGCTGCAATGAAAACAAACCATGGGTGGTGGGACTGCTCAGGAGGAAAAGAAAAAAAAACCAAAATGAGGTTGAGAGAGAGGAGGTAAGAGGTGACAACAGATAAGCAACCTGAAGGGGTGGAAGAATTACAGTCCACAGAAGACTTATTTAGATGACAGAAATTCAGACTCACTGACTCAACTCGGAAGGTGCAAGAGGCTTCTTTCTGTGCCCAAAACCAGCTTGGAAGCTGGGATATGAATTAGCTCTATGATTTAAGAAAAAAATCAGGCTGTACACATCTGATTGAAGAAATCCACAACTGCTGCCACGCGCTCCCAAAAATCATGGCTTTATAAACTGACTCAATTCAGCAAGGACAACATGCGCCTAATTGCAGGAGTTAACCAAGGAAGGAAAGAAAGAGAAAGCTACCCTAAATGAGAAGTGCTGTACAAACCTCAACTCACAGACAAGGAAGGGATATCTAGCCACCAGGAAACTGAACACAAACCTTGGGACTCATTTGCACTGAAGTCAGTCACGCCACATTGATATGTGCACCACTAGGGGAATGCCATAAGCTTTTACTGAGCATAAAATGCCATTGTTGTCTCATCTCCCTTCAGATTTGCTATAATTAGGCTCAGCAAGCCACTGTATAGCAATTCTGGCTAGAATGCATTTAGCAATGCATCACGCATTACCAGCCCTCTTCTCTCAAAGAAGCAAGGAGAAGTTTCTCCCAGCTCCACAAGGAGTTATCCTCAACTTCCGCTTTCACTCCTTACTCCTGTACAAATCAGGATGCTCTGAAAGCAAAGTATCATTCCCAAAGTTCCTTACTGATCCCAGAGCCCTTTCTGAAGACACCATGAGTTACATAGAAGTATCTGCTACCTTAAAATGGAAGCTGCCCCAATTTTCCCAGCTGATGAGGAATGGCTGTTATAATACTTGGGCAGATCTTTTCAGTCTTCCATTAAGTTAATATCTGACAAACTATGTGCTGAAGACAGATACTCAGTAAGCTTCTGATGGGAAGTAACATGCTATTTTTTTTTTTTTAACCAAAGCAGTAATAGCAACAGCTGTGATGCACACATTCAGTTGCAGAAATTTATCTTCTAAATCAAATCATAACATTTGGAAAGGAGTATGAGCAGCTTCTTAGAGTCATATTCTGACCATTCAAAGCCAAGCTCAGCCCACACATGCTTATTTTCCATTTTAACTTTCGCGGTGTATTAGATTTAGTCACCTTATCTGGCATCAGTTATGAAAGAAGCATTAAGGAAACATCTACAGCAGGTCAATTCCATTTTAACCTTCATAAACAACAAAATTCATAAATGCCAGTTGGCCACAAGCCTATTATTAAATTATAATAAAACTGAAGAAATAGCCCTGGTTATATCTCAGATGTCACGCTTACATTTATATCCTGGCTTACTACAATTTAACACTGAATTTAAGTGTGGCTAAGGAAAGAAATCTTATGATAGGAGATGAAATTAAGTCAGAGCTGTGGATTTTACCTAGAAGAAGGGGAGAGATCACCTGCAGGTTGATAAGGATGAATCAAGGATGTTGGTTAATTGGTTAAGAAGAATTATATAAGATGGTCACTTTAAATCTGTGATAAACTACTTGCATTTTTAGTTTAAGATGCTCATTCAGTAGGAAAATGAAATATTGAGCATCAGCATTTTCAAACAGCTTGTAGCCTGAGAAAAATATACCTAAAGGTAACTAAAAGGCCATTTCAGACATGAGGTTGGGTAATTCACACTACTGTCATTAACAAGGGAGGCCCTTTGTTTCTCCATCGAAGCACAGTGGAGAAACACGAACACCAATAAACAAATAAAGCAAAAGCAAGCTCACAGCAGGTCAGGAAACACTTGACAACCATAAATATTTTATTGAGGCAGAATAGTAGTTTCATTCCAGAAATTGATACCATCAAGAACTGAATATGAGTTGGAAGTAGAGAAGGGACTGGGCAAGCCAAATAATTACTTCAATTGTCAGAAGCAGTTGACTTCATCCATAGATCAGTAGCTGAAGCACAGAATATTAGTAATTACTATATTTGCTAATTCAGCACTGAAAAGGATTATCTGTATACACACAAACTGCAAGAGAACACTCAGGCTGTTATGAATTGTCAAAGCAGGATGGAGGACAAAGAATCCTGATTTGGATTTGGCAAAAACTTCAGCAAAATTTGGACTCCTGTGTTTTAACATTCCTCAGGTTTTGCCTCAGTACCACCAATAAATCAGTAATATTGCATTGCTAATATTTAGGGCAACCATGCTGGAGGTCTCGTTAAGGAATCTGCTAAGTAGCAGATGCATGAACATCAGATACAATCAAAAGATCACTATTTCAATTGGCCATGGCTTTAAGGTAAGTCTTCACTACCCAATCTGCTCACAACAAGTAAAACTTATGGCTTATTCCCTCTATTCTCAGCTTCAGAACTTACCCATGAACAGAGCAGAAGCCCCTTGGCATGCAGCGTATTTTTCATAAGCTGAAGAAGGAAAAGGTTGAGGAAAAACTGGTGATGAGTTCCCCGGTGTATAATTCCTTGTAGAGAGAGAGATGATTTAGCTATCTGGGCATGAAGAGAAACACAACCAACACTGCCATCTTCCCTGTCAATTCTGCCACAGCTTCCAAGTGTGATCACAACTCTTTCCCGTAAATTAAAAGCTGCCATTAAAAGAAAATAGAGCAGCTTTCCCTGTTGTGCTCATCACAAAGACTGTCTTACACAGATGAATCACAATAGGATGAGCACAGATGCCTTCAGAGTTCTATAGGAAGAAGCAATTAGTTTTAAGATCATGTTCCTGAAACACTGCATTGGTCAGCCCTCTCCTAATTGCAATGACACCCCTTGGAACTGGACAACCCAGGTGTCACCCCACAAGGTTAAGCAGCCCCATTTTCAGATTCAAAGGCACTGATAAAGAATACAAAGTGAAATTCATGGGCTATATTTACTGTGGATTCATCTCTGCAAACATAACTTCACATGCTGGACAGTTTGCATCAGCACTTGCACAGCAGAATGCCTCCAGAGGAATATTACTTTTCAGAAACAAAAACAGAAGAAAACATTGCTTCCAGCAGACATTCACAGTAAGTCCCTGTGATGATTTCAGGTAAAGCTGCTTCCATTTTTGTCTCACAAAGGAAAGATTTCTGTTTGAAGAGATTCTCTTAAAATTGATGGTCCACTTGTTAACCTGAACCTGCCTGCCTCACCTATCTGGGTCTGCCCAGCAACCCCAGTTGAAGCCCTGCCTTGAGCTTTGCTCCTGCACTGACAGATTTCTAATTACTGAAGTATTAGATACCATTCACTCACATTTGTAAGCATGTCTACATGCGTTCACCTATCTTTCCCAACAGTCCTGATGGCAAGGAAGTGTGCCTCAGTTAAGTGTGTCCCCATGGAGAGAGAGCTCCTGGCAGCCTGCAGGGCAGGGGTTGGTTGGTATTTGGGAGCATCATGGCAACACTTCACAAAGGAAGGAGGTTGGACAGGAACACAGCTGGTGCCCTGGCAGAAAGTCAAAGGCACCAAGGGAATGTTCTGGGAAACACTCAAGAAAGTATTGTTAGGCTAATATGTGGCTCCTATTTACATTTCCCTGCTTAGGACCGTTTTGCTGCCAATTTCTGCTTTCCACATCACACCACAGATTTTCTTTCCCCCCCACCCCCTTCCTACTGACATTCACTGTATCATTAGATTCCCCAAGTGAACATTTTCAGATGCAATTTATCATCTTAATTCACTCCGCAGAGTTACAGAGAACCTTGAGGGCATTTCCTGCCACTCAGCATTCCAGTAACTGTCACAGGGATGGATAACTGTGGAACAGGATCACAAGATGTAGCAGCAAGGAGCGAGATGTGAACTCATCACCTGTACCAACCAGAACTAGATCTAAAAACAAGGTTTTACAGAACTAGATCTAAAAACAAGGCTTTACAAAGTTGAGGAGCATGGTAGTTTTGCTTTAGGACAAGGAGGCAAAGTTCACACCAAGGTTCACCTGTACTACTGAACATGGCAATGGAAAGGGCTTTCCATCCTCATCCATTATTTCCACATCTATTTCCTACGACGAAGCCAGAACAGGGACAGGTAGCATTTGCAAGCCATGGGGTGGCACCCTGGGGAACTGGCTGACAGTTTTCCACCTGGACAAAGTATTTGGGAAGCTGAAATGGATGGATGGATGGATGGATGGATGGATGGATGGATGGATGGATGGATGCCTTCTTCCTCACAGTACAACCCTAGATTTGCCTCTTGACCTATTATATTTAAGCTAGCACAATGGCAAGAGTAAATCACATTCAAGCTAGCTTTTTAATTGAGCTATGACAGGAAGGATTGGGACTTCCATCTGCTTCTTGTGATGTAGTTAAAAGGAGAAAATACTGCAGCATTTCACCGAAGTCTCAGCAATAATTATACTGCAATCAAGGAAAGTGAGCACAGTGGGTAGAAATACCACACAGTAACAGAAAACGGTTCTTAATCCCAAAGTCAGATTTCACACTTTCATTCTCACGTTTTTCATAGAAAGATTAACACAGACAGTAAGTGATGGTGTTTCCTGCCAAATCAACCCCAGGAAATACAGGAATCCCAGTCACTGCAAATTACATCTCACCGGATTTCCAGCACAAAAGAGAGGCAGTAAATTCCCTATTCCCTGTTTGTCACAAATGAACACCAGTGCCACTGAAGCTTGACCAGGAAAGGCAAATAACACTCCCCAACAGAAAGGAACTAGAAGGACATCTGTGGTAATGCTTTGCCTTATCTCCCATACTCGTTATTTAAGCCTAGAATAAAACGAGTTCTAAAATTTGGATTTGATCAGAGATGGCGTGTTGCCATCAGGGCAGTTCATCCAGGCTCAAGGAGGTGACTTGGGAATAATTTGGGATAAGGAACCTCAGCTTAATTCCTGGGAGAATAAGTGTGGAAGACCATTGGAATTATTCTGCTTCTTTCCTTCTCCAACCAAAGAGGGACCTTGGAGCCACCACTGCCATGGAGCACAGGGGTCTGCAGCCCAGCTTCTGCACAGCCCCACCTGCAGCAGCAAGTAACCAAGGCCACAGAGCTGCAGGTGTTACCCTGTGCTGCTTTCAAACAGCAACAAGACCCAGCTGAAGAGGGCAGAAGGATCACCAAGAGAACCCTTTAAATGAACAGCCTCAGCAAATGGGCAATCCATAGGAAACTTCAATCATTAATAAAGGATCACGGCCTTCCCCTGGCAGCAGCTCACCAATGCAGAACATCTGCTTACTGACATCTGGGGCTTTCAGCTTTCTTGATGCCCTGGAACTTCCCCATCTTCCTTTCTGTAAAAGCCATTTCCCCTCCCATTCCTGTTCCTGTACAGTAACAAACCCCAATTTTCAAAAAAAAAAAATAAATTTAAATCATTTGGATTTTATATTCCCAGATGTCCCTTCCAAATGCAGTTCTGTGATTTGCAATGAGAAAATAAAGTTTACACCTTATTTCAAATACAGCACAAAGCAGCAGTGGCTATGGAGACTTCTACCGTCTTTGCCCTATGTCAGGCTATTATTTAAGGACAGCATATATTAGTAGTGTGCTATTGCTCTGAGATTTGAAAGTATTTCTCTGCTTGAAGAAAACTGTCATCAGATCAAAAGTAGTGAACTGATTCTGGACTTAGTTTTAAGTCATTAAGATGTGGGCAGTCTTCAGGATAGATCAGGAAAAAGCACCGACAGCGGCCAACGCAAGCCTGAAAGCTGCCTGTTCAGAACCAGCTCATCCTCCAGAGCAAGAGGAAAATAATGGAAAGAACTGCAGAAACAGCAACACGGAACACAGAAGCATCAGATCACCACCCTATGGCACAGAGACGTGTCCTACATCTCTTTGAGTGAAAAAAAGCTATAGTAATTTAGGGACCATTCTCAGTATTTTTCTTATTTTGTTGATATAGTCAGATGGATAAGTGAAAGGCTGCAGGGAAGCAATTCTGTACTGGTTTGCTACAAATGACACTCCTGAAACGAGTACAACTTGGCCTCATGGGCAATTCCTGAAGGTCAGACATGGGATATTCTGTCTAGAGCCAGACTTGAGGATTACCTGAAGATAATAGGCACAGATCAGAAAGATGATGAAAGCAGAACAGGAACAGTTCCATCTTCAGCAACAGAAGGTGAAATACACTCAAATCTCTTCCCAGAATGAAGGCAGCAGTGATGGGCACGGCAGAGCACAGGAACTGTGGCACTGGATGCTCATGACCACAGACACTGGAGCATTCGCTGGGCTCCCACTACAGTGGGACAGTCAGATGCTCAATCACACAACAGCCCTGACAGTTCCATAGGATGTGCCACTTGTAGCATCCTTCCTCACTTTCCATACCAAAGGAGTTGTAACAGATTAATGGTCAAGCATGAGGTGCTCTGCTGGTTTAGAAGGGTTGCTTGCTTTGCTGCCAGCTTGATTTCAGATCTTTACGTAGCCAAGGCTTGGCTGATTTCTCACTGTATGAGAAAGAAGTATTCTGTATGCCATGCAGTGCACAATCCTACCCTTTACGGTGTATTTTGCAGACAGGATCTCATCCACAGAGCAATTTTACTACATGACATCAGAGCACATTAAACTTGCTTTTAGTTCAATAGGGAACTCATTTTGATGGCAGAGCAAAGAGAAAGCATTCTGACTTTATGAACTCTGATGTTTCACGGAAAAAATAGTTCACCTCACCCTGAAATGCTGATCTACTGAGATCATGAATTATAAAGGTGATACCAAATGTTTCCAAGAAATATGGCAGAATTTACCCCTGTAATAGAAGGGGCCAGCAAGGTAATCATCTACCTCATACCACTTCATATTTCACATTGTCACACTGACCTAAAGACAAGGAATTTAACCCAAAATATCAGAGGTGAAAGAACCTGTAGGTGTCCCTGATAAGTGTTCTGCAATCCTTTTTGTTCAAAGTAGACACAGTTACTAAAATTAATGACAGCATTCATCAGTCTTGGGGATGAAGGAAAGTTAAGTTACCTCAGAGTCATTATTAAAATACTAATCCTTTCCCACAGCATCATAGGGAAGAGCTACAGCACAGCTGATAGAACTCAATAGCCTTATTACATCTACCACACCTGCTTTTGTGACCCTCATCCTTCTCAGCCCTACTTCTCAAAGACATTTATCTTCTGCATAACCATTTCAGGTGGTCGTGTTTGATCAGACACTGAGCTACTGAGAAAAGTCTCCTTCACTTGTGATTATTTACATACACACTAAATGCAACTGAAAAAAAAGCAGAATCAACATAGGGGAAACAGGACCAAGGGGAGAAACACGCAAGCATTTCAAGGCACATCTGTCAGTGTTGGCTCAGGTAATATTCACTTGGTAATAAACATAGGAATTACATTCAGGAAAGCATAGAATGTAAAATTAAATTCTCTAATATGAATACTGAATTTCAATCAATCATTTATTACACTGAATAATATACTTGGCTTAACTGAGCATAAGCTGGTGTTTAGCTATTGCATATCCTCCTTTTGGGGTAACAGATTCCCAACCTTTGAGTATCTTCATTGCCCTTGGCAATTTGTTCCAGAATATAATCAATAAACTGCATTAAAATTGTGCCCAGTCTCTAATTTCAATTTGTATGGCTTCAATTTCCAATTCAATACTATGGATTCTCTGGCAGATTAAAAATACTTTCAAATATAAAAATTCTGAAGGAAAAAATGACCACATTCAAGTCCCCACTCAATTGTTTTAATAAGCTAAAAAAAATAATGTCAAAGCATCCTGCCCTATTCTACAGGTAATTTCTGTCATCTCCCTCTCTACATTTAGAAAGTGCTTAAAGATTTGGAATAATACCCACAAAATGCTGTCTGATCAACGTCTTCAAGCACTGTTTGCAAAGGAAGTTGCAACAGTTGTGAACAGAACAGGTTTTGTTTTACACAGGAACAACAGAGCAGGAATATTGTAGGGGACAGAATCTGTAATAAAGGCATAAATTTAAAAGTAGGCAGGGAAATATTGTCACTTCCCAGTGCTCTCTGCTTTGGAAACCTGTCTGCCTTTTTCTACTTTCTCCTACTGCAGTGAATCCACACAGCCCCATTTTCTACAAGCTGCTCTGACCATGCACAGGATTGCAGGTAGAGAGAAATGGAACCAACCACAGGCAAACAGAGCTCATTTAGCCCTGCTCAGCACTAACATCTCCTTTCCAGAGCACACTGCTACAGCTAGACAGGTGAGGATTTATTTCCACTCACCACACACAGCACAGTTTCAAAACAAGTATGGCATTCCTACAGGCTCTATTAAAGTCTGGGCCAAACCTCACTTTTTCCTCCATTTAAGTAAAATCTGAACAAGTATTTTTTAAGGAGAAAAGCTTCCTAAGATAGCTTCCGTGATTCACAAAGTGGACACTGCCAGGCACTGCTGAAGCTGCCTTTAAGCACTGCCAACAGATGTAAGATCCGCAGGATGGAGCTCTCTTGCTCTCCCTTCTGCCCTTCAAACTTTTTCCTATTTCTAGTCCATACCATCTGATTTATTCAAGACCCACTGAAAAAGCACCAGGGTGTTCAAAACTAAGCCCAGCAAGAGCACAGCATCAGAACAAGTCATCAGACCTTAAATCCAGAGTGCACCACAAATTGCATTCACTCGTGGAGATACTGTACATCCTGTGGTGATAAGACCAACTCTAAAGAGTTGGAAGCATAAATCTCCACCAACCTATCAATCTCAGTGACTTGGCTGCATTCTGATCCCATTTTCTGCAGCAAAAACAGATAGCTTTGCAAACAGAATCTAGTCCACAGCCTAGACCAGAGATTACAGTCTCCATGCTCATGCCACAGATGTCTTTGCAC